GAGAGAGAGAGAGAGAGGGGAGGGAGGGAGAGAGAGAGGAGAGAGGGGAGGGGAGGGAGAGAGAGAGGGGAGGGAGGGAGAAAGCGAGAGAGAGGGGAGGGAGGGAGAGAGAGATGGAAGAGTAGAAAACAATGTAATCAGGCCATGGAGTCATGGAAATAGGAACTCCACACCAAGAATAGCCACATCAACCTTCACAATGCAGATAATAAGCAGGTGGATCAGGACACTCCTATATGAGGGCTAAGAACTCTAATGCCCTTTTCACACTAGCATGCCAAGTCATCCACAACCAAACTGGGCTGGCGCAGATATTTCCTCTTCCATCGGTACCAGCCACTATGGTGGAGGTGTAAGCAGGTCAGCTCAGTACAGTTTGGTACAGTAATGTCTTCCTGAGCCTCAGTCAGGGGCACACAGCAGTGTACTGTGGTGTGTGTGTGTGTGTGTTCTTACCACAGTTGGCGAACTTGAGTGAGAGGACACAGCTCTCGTGGAGATGTAGCTGGTACTTGTCAGGTTTGGTGTGATGGAGGACCTCCACGTTACTGCTCTCCATCCCGACAGCTAACCATTCCCCTGTAGGACAGTATCCTAGAGAGAAGATCTGGAGGGGGGACAGATTAACATTGATCCTTATGAATACGTTTGGCTCTCCGCTACATACAACATGCTGAGTTTTTTATTTTATTTATTTTTTACAAGGAGCACTTGTGCCCCTAAGTTGAAAATCAAGATGCACACAAATAAATGTAGGAGCACAATGAAAAATATTTTGAGTTAATAAAAGCTAGAATCCTTCATTTTTCTAGACGCCTAAATTAAAATCCCAGGTCGTAGAACAAAAGTATTTAGGCACATATGCGAGTAAAATGGTCGCACCGTAGGGGCCCTGGTTTGGGGGTTATATGCCTTAATTAAGGGCGCAACTGGGACTTTGATACCAGTGTGTGTGTGTGTGTGTGTGTGTGTGTGTGTATGTGTGTGTGTGTGTGTGTGTGTGTGTGTGTGTGTGTGTGTGTGTGTGTGTGTGTGTGTGAGAGGGCGTACCTGTGAGGTGAAGTCGTGCTGCTGTAGCTGGCGGCCCTCTCTCAGGTCCCAGGAGCGTACCGTGTTGTCCAGACCTCCTGTCCACAGCTTGGTCCCATCGTGAGAGATATCTATACAGCTAGCCCCGTCCGTATGGCCCTGGAACTGCCTGTGAGAAACCACACAGCACGTCCTTATAAACCATGTACGCACAAATAATGTATCCTTCGAAACCATCACTTTACATGTCACCACTTAACACCTGTAGAGCCACGGGCACCTACACAACCACTGGTCGTCTAATAATGTCCTTACAAACCACTGCCCTAAAACCACAAATATGTCCTTAGAAACCACTGCCGTAAAACCATAGGTAGTCTCAAATATGTCCTTAGAAACCACTGCCCTAAAATCACAGGTAGTCTAATAATGTCCTTACAAACCACTGCCCTAAAACCACAGGTAGTCTCAAATATGTCCTTACAAACCACTGCCCTAAAACCATAGGTAGTCTCAAATATGTCCTTACAAACCACTGCCCTAAAACCACAGGTAGTCTCAAATATGTCCTTACAAACCACTGCCCTAAAACCATAGGTAGTCTCAAATATGTCCTTACAAACCACTGCCCTAAAACCACAGGTAGTCTCAAATATGTCCTTACAAACCACTGCCCTAAAACCATAGGTAGTCTCAAATATGTCCTTACAAACCACTGCCCTAAAACCACAGGTAGTCTCAAATATGTCCTTACAAACCACTGCCCTAAAACCACAGGTAGTCTCAAATATGTCCTTACAAACCACTGCCCTAAAACCATAGGTAGTCTCAAATATGTCCTTACAAACCACTGCCCTAAAACCACAGGTAGTCTCAAATATGTCCTTACAAACCACTGCCCTAAAACCACAGGTAGTCTCAAATATGTCCTTACAAACCACTACCCTAAAACCACAGGTAGTCTCAAATATGTCCTTACAAACCACTACCCTAAAACCACAGGTAGTCTCAAATATGTCCTTACAAACCACTGCCCTAAAACCACAGGTAGTCTCAAATATGTCCTTACAAACCACTGCCCTAAAATCACAGGTAGTCTCATATACATCTTATAAACCACCATGAAAGCCATACAAAATACCAAACATACAAGACCACAGGTAGTCAACGCAAATAGTCCGGGTAGCCATGATTAGCTGTTCAGGAGTCTTATGGCTTGGGGGTAGAAGCTGTTAAGACGCCTTTTGGACCTAGACTTAGCACTCCGGTAACGCTTGCTGTGCGGTAGCAGAGAGAACAGTCTATGACTAGGGTGGCTAGAGTCTTTCATAATTTTTAGGGCTTTCCTCTGACACTGCCTGGTATAGAGGTCCCAGTGATGTACTGGGCCGTATGCACTACCCTCTGTAGTGCCTTGCAGTCGGAGGCCGAGCAGTTGCCATACCAGGCGGTGACGCAACCAGTCAGGATGCTCTCGATGGTGCAGCTGTATAACTTTTTAAGGATCTGAGGACCCATGCCAAATCTTTTCAGTCTCCTGAGGGGGAATAGGCTTTGTCGTGCCCTCTTCACGACTGTCTTGGTGTGTTTGGACCATGATAGTTTGTTGGTGACGTGGACACCAAAGAACTTGAGCAGGTTGAGCCTGTTCAAGAGACAGCAGAGAAAGCACGCCCCCATCCACATCGACAGGGCCACAGAAGGTGAAATGGTCCATCCACACAAACAGCGTGGTGAAGAAGGTGCAACAGCGCCTCTTCAACCTCAGGAGGCTGAAGAAATTTGGCTTGGTCCCTAAGACCCACATGAACTTCTACAGATGCACCATTGAGAGCATCCTGTCGTGCTTATCACCGCCTGGTTCGGTAATTGCACCATCCGCAACTGCAGGGCTCTCCAGAGGGTGGTGCGGTCAGCCCAACGCATCACCGGGGGCACACTGCCTGCCCTCCAGGACATCTACAGCACCTGGTGTCACAGGAAGGCTAAGAAGATCATCAAGGACCTCAGCCACCCGAGCCACGGCTTGTTTACCCGCTACCATTTAGAAGGCGGAGACAGTACAGGTGAATCAAAGCTGGGACCGAGAGACTGATAAACAGCTTCTATCTCCAGGCCATCAGACTGTTAAACAGTCACCACTAGCCGGCCTCCACCCAGTACCCTGCCCTGAACTTAGTCACTGTTACTAGCCGGCTACCACCTGGTACTCTACCCTGCACCTTAGAGACTGCTGCCCTATGTACACAGATATGGAACACTGGTCCCTTTAATAATGTTTAGATACTGTTTCACCCACTTCATATGTATATACTGTATTCTAGTCATGGCTCATCCTAAATAACTTATAAATAAAAAACAATCTGGATTATGTGTGTAGTGTTTTTCTTTATTGCTAGGTATTACTATGCTGTTGGAGCTAGAAACACAAGCATTTAGCTAGGTATCACTGCGCTGTTGGAGCTAGAAACATAAGCATTTAGCTAGGTATCACTGCGCTGTTGGAGCTAGAAACACAAGCATTTAGCTAGGTATTACTGCGCTGTTGGAGCTAGAAACACAAGCATTTAGCTAGGTATCACTGCGCTGTTGGAGCTAGAAACATAAGCATTTAGCTAGGTATCACTGCGCTGTTGGAGCTAGAAACACAAGCATTTAGCTAGGTATCACTGCGCTGTTGGAGCTAGAAACACAAGCATTTAGCTAGGTATCACTGCGCTGTTGGAGCTAGAAACACAAGCATTTAGCTAGGTATCACTGCGCTGTTGGAGCTAGAAACACAAGCATTTAGCTAGGTATCACTGCGCTGTTGGAGCTAGAAACACAAGCATTTAGCTAGGTATCACTGCACTGTTGGAGCTAGAAACACAAGCATTTAGCTAGGTATCACTGCGCTGTTGGAGCTAGAAACACAAGCATTTAGCTAGGTATCACTGCACTGTTGGAGCTAGAAACACAAGCATTTAGCTAGGTATCACTGCCCTGTTGGAGCTAGAAACACAAGCATTTAGCTAGGTATCACTGCACTGTTGGAGCTAGAAACACAAGCATTTAGCTAGGTATCACTGCGCTGTTGGAGCTAGAAACACAAGCATTTAGCTAGGTATCACTGCACTGTTGGAGCTAGAAACACAAGCATTTAGCTAGGTATCACTGCACTGTTGGAGCTAGAAACACAAGCATTTAGCTAGGTATCACTGCGCTGTTGGAGCTAGAAACACAAGCATTTAGCTAGGTATCACTGCACTGTTGGAGCTAGAAACACAAGCATTTAGCTAGGTATCACTGCACTGTTGGAGCTAGAAACACAAGCATTTAGCTAGGTATCACTGCCCTGTTGGAGCTAGAAACACAAGCATTTAGCTAGGTATCACTGCACTGTTGGAGCTAGAAACACAAGCATTTAGCTAGGTATCACTGCGCTGTTGGAGCTAGAAACACAAGCATTTAGCTAGGTATCACTGCACTGTTGGAGCTAGAAACACAAGCATTTAGCTAGGTATCACTGCACTGTTGGAGCTAGAAACACAAGCATTTAGCTAGGTATCAATGCGCTGTTGGAGCTAGAAACACAAGCATTTAGCTAGGTATCACTGCACTGTTGGAGCTAGAAACACAAGCATTTAGCTAGGTATCACTGCACTGTTGGAGCTAGAAACACAAGCATTTAGCTAGGTATCACTGCGCTGTTGGAGCTAGAAACACAAGCATTTAGCTAGGTATCACTGCTCTGTTGGAGCTAGAAACACAAGCATTTCGCTGCACCTGCGACAACATCTGCAAATCTGTGTTTGCGACCAATAAACGTTGATTTGATGTTCTCAGAAACCCCCACATACCTGTAGAACCCAGCACAGTACAGCAATAACACAATATACAGCCAGTAACAGCACAGTACAGCACTGCCCAATACACAGCCAGTAACCAGCAGAGTACAGCAATAACACAATACACAGCCTTTCCATCTTTTCCTACCTGACGAGAGTCTGGTTGTGCAGGTCCCAGACGGCGATGTTCCCGTCGCTGCAGCAGGAGAAGCAGACCTTGGCGTCGGGGGAGATGGCGAGGGCGTAGCAGGCAGGGGCGGAGGACGTCAGCTCAGCCTTGATACGAGGCGTCTGAGAGGCCAAGTCCCAGATGGTTAAAGTACTGGCCTCTCCTCCTACGATGAGGGTACGACCGTCGGGGAGCAGCTTACAGGAGCGGATGTAGTTATCCCTGTTCTGGAAGACAGAGGGAACAGACGCAATCAATAAACGCTCTGGACACCACAGCTCAAGGGATCAGGACTGAGGTTCTAGCCAGACAGACAGACAGACAGACTGAAGGAAAATTAACTTTATTCCTTCCACCATAGTAAAACATATCTAGACTGTAGCAGAGAAAAGTGGTTCTGTTTGGCTGGTTAAGGCGTGGCACTAGCCATGTCAAGGTCAAGGGTTCAACTCCCACTCAGGGATCACATACACAAACACAAATTCCTTAGATCACAGTAAACAACAGCAGTAGTAGGTCCTCACCAGACAGTCCAGCTGAGAGACGGGGCTCTTGCTGCCCGGCTGGCTGATATCCCAGATCTTGACACAGCCCTTCCCTCCTGTGTAGACGTGTCTAGTGGGGTTGGAGATGGTGACAGCACACACCACCTCGCCGTGGCTCAGCGTGTTGATCTGGCGGGCGTGCCGGGGGATCCCCGGGCCTATCAGGGCGTCCGGAGGGAACGGCACCGGCTGCATCTGCCCGTCCGCACTCACATGGAAGGAGTAGGCTCTGGAAGATGAGACATGGGCTCTCTTTAGTACTGCGGGGTAGAGTTCATTTGGTACTAAACGAACTGAAACAGGAAGGGACTACCTGCAGTTGTCCAATAACCAACACTCATTTTAGCTTTCCTTTACAAGAGGTTTTGTTACGGTAATGAACATGACCCTGATGATTGTTATTCTAACAGATATGTAGTGTAGGACTGAAGGGCTTCATCTAAGACAGACAGCGAGATAGACAGGGAGAGAGACAGACAGGGAGAGAGAGAAAGAGAGACAGAAAGAGACAGAGAGACAGCCAGACAGACAGAGAGAGAGAGACAGCCAGACAGACAGAGAGAGAGAGACAGCCAGACAGACAGAGAGAGAGAGACAGCCAGACAGACAGAGAGACAGCCAGACAGACAGAGAGAGAGTGACAGCCAGACAGACAGACAGAGACAGACAGCCAGACGGAGAGACAGCCAGACGGAGAGACTGCCAGACAGCCAGCCAGACTGAGACAGACAGAGAGACAGACAGAGATAGACAGCCAGACAGACAGAGAGAGAGAGAGAGACAGCCAGACAGCCAGAGAGAGAGAGACAGCCAGACAGACAGAGAGTGACAGCCAGACAGACAGACAGAGACAGACAGCCATACAAACACAGAGAGACAGACAGAGAGACAGACAGAGACAGACAGACAAAAACAGACAGAGAGCAGAACCCAGAGTGTGTAGGGTACTTACGGTTTTCCTCCAGATATGGAGGTGAGACTGGCAGGAAGACCTGGTCTCATGTGGGGATGAGAATCAAACCCCTGTAACAGAACAAGATAGGGTCAACATGACATAACCTACACAACATACTATTTACATAACATACAGAGTAGCCTTGTCGAGAACCAGGCTTCCCTATATGGAAAGCCTGGTGAAGTCAATGGTAGAAAGTAGGTACAAATGGGTGGAAACCCTGTGTAAATCAGTAACGCCTCGCAACACGTCAAACCAATCAAATGCCTTGCATGGGCGGAGCGCCAAAGGTGCCCACTCATAATGTCTCTTTTCTTCAGTAGAGAGTTCAAACAGAGACGTTGTAATGCCTTCATCAACTGGATGTTGTGTATAAACCAACTTCTGGATAAACCGTTTTTACTGCAGGTTTTCTTCCTTTTTCTGCAAAGTGTTTCCTATCTGGTGGTAAAACAGTGACGAACATAACATAATGCTTCTACGGGCATGTGGGTGGGAAGGTTCTTGAAATGTAACATCCAATCAAAGTGTAGCTGCTGGAATCCAGCTGCCCATTCTAACAGTTTTGGCTAAAACTAAATTCTCCAACAAGATGATTAAGGAGGTTTGGCAACACATTTACATTTTAGTCATTTAGCAGACGCTCTTATCCAGAGCGACTTACAGGAGCAATTAGGGTTAAGTGCCTTGCTCAAGGGCACATCGACAGATTTTTCACCTAGTCGGCTCGGGGATTAGAACCAGCGACCTTTCGGTTTCTGGCACAACGCTCTTAACCACCAAAGCTACCTGCCGCCCCAGAGACGTTGTACACGAGACTATGTACAGTAAACACCTACAGCACAACATAACAACACCTCTTTGATTACTCACACAAACCCACACCAAGACAGATATGAACACCAGTAATCCGCAGCGTGTGTGTGTGTGTGTGTGTGTGTGTGCGTGTGTGTGCGTGTGTGTGTATCTCACCATGGGTGACCGTCCGTACGCGGCGGCGCTCATCTGAGGGGAGATGTGTATTCCAGCGTAGACACCGGGGCTGGTCAGACCTCCGTTCATCTCATGGTGGTGACCCATCATAACAAAGGGAGGGTAGGACCCCGCCAGGGACAGGGGAGTCCGCAGGGCCGGGGCCGCTGGAGAGGGATTCGGATTATTACATATGATCATATTGTTGTTGTTGTTGTTGATGATGATGTCATGAATACACAGTATATTTGGCAACATGTCCAAGTGAATGTCAAGCCGATAAAGCATTGAGCGGTAGGTAGAGGTGGACAGAAACAAACTGACAGAGAGAAAGAGAACACATTACTATTAAATACACCCAGGCCAGGTCACAGCAGAGGACAGAGACAGAGAGGATGCCAGCCGTATAAATAGAATGGTGCCAGCCAAAGCCCTTGGCTTCCAGAGAGGCCAGATGCCAGTCCACTGGGTGTGACAGCAGCAGTATTAACCCACAGCCTCCATGCCAAAACAAATATGCACTTTTGTCATGCCATAAAGCATTTTGAATAAAAAACTGAATTGAGAAGAGAGTGAAAGAGAGAGAGACATTACTAAAGCAATACAGCCAGCTCAGTCACAGTAGAGAGAGAGAGAGAGAGAGAGAGAGACATTACTAAAGGAATACAGCCAGATCAGTCACAGTAGAGAGAGAGAGAGAGAGAGACATTACTAAAGGAATACAGCCAGATCAGTCACAGTAGAGAGAGAGAGAGAGAGAGAGACATTACTAAAGGAATACAGCCAGATCAGTCACAGTAGAGAGAGAGAGAGAGAGAGACATTACTAAAGGAATACAGCCAGATCAGTCACAGTAGAGAGAGAGAGAGAGAGAGAGAGAGACATTAGTAAAGGAATACAGCCAGATCAGTCACAGTAGAGAGAGAGAGAGAGAGAGAGAGAGACATTACTAAAGGAATACAGCCAGATCAGTCACAGTAGAGAGAGAGAGAGAGAGACATTACTAAAGGAATACAGCCAGATCAGTCACAGTAGAGAGAGAGAGAGAGAGAGAGAGACATTACTAAAGGAATACAGACAGATCAGTCACAGTAGAGAGAGAGAGAGAGAGACATTACTAAAGGAATACAGACAGATCAGTCACAGTAGAGAGAGAGAGAGAGAGAGACATTACTAAAGGAATACAGACAGATCAGACACAGTAGACTAGAGAAAAAAAGCGGTAGCCTCACACTCAGTCACAGATGGAGAACACAGAGAGCATTCAGCTAAAGCCTTGGTTTCCAGAGAGGGCTGCCCTGCCAGTCTAACTGGTGTGAGAGTACCAGTACTAACCCCCATAGCAGAAATGGAAAATAGCACTGTGGCGCCGTGGTCGCCTAGGCAGAAATATCTGGAACTATTTATTTCTATGTGTTTGCTCTGGGGGTTGATCACTTCCATCTCATGGTGGGGACCAGTACGAATGAAAACGTATGTACTAACTACTGTCAGTCGCTCGGGAATAAGAGCGTCTGCTAAATGACTAAAATGTAAAATGTGGTCTTGACTTCTCAAAAGTTGCAGAATTGGGATGAAAAGTCTATATTTTTGGCCAGCTATTTATATGGCTGTTTGGATTCAAATCATTTATTGTTTAATCTGTCGGGAAGAACTACATCAAGAACTGCATGCTGTGTCCAGAGAAGGACAGAAGAGGCTCCGGGACTGGTATCACCAAGGTGGGTGCTACATGTTCAGCCATGGTATCACCAAGGCGGGTGCTACATGTTCAGCCATGGTATCACCAAGGTGGGTGCTACATGTTCAGCCATGGTATCACCAAGGTGGGTGCTACATGTTCAGCCATGGTATCACCAAGGCGGGTGCTACATGTTCAGCCATGGTATCACCAAGGCGGGTGCTACATGTTCAGCCATGGTATCACCAAGGTGGGTGCTACATGTTCAGCCATGGTATCACCAAGGTGGGTGCTACAGGTTCAGCCATGGTATCACCAAGGTTGGTGCTACATGTTCAGCCATGGTGGACCAGTACCTGTGGAGGAACTGACTGTTGGAGAAGCAGTGTGGTGCACTGATGAAGCGCTCCGGGTCTGTTTTGGCAGACTTCTAGGCTTGGGCGGTATAACGTACATACCATACACCGGGGGGAAATAGCCACAGGATGGTTTTTCAATACCATTGAAACTACAGTGGGGAAAAAAAGTATTTAGTCAGCCACCAATTGTGCAAGTTCTCCCACTTAAAAAGATGAGAGAGGCCTGTAATTTTCATCATAGGTGCACGTCAACTATGACAGACAAATTGAGAGAAAAAAAATCCAGAAAATCACATTGTAGGATTTTTAATGAATTTATTTGCAAATTATGGTGGAAAATAAGTATTTGGTCACCTACAAACAAGCAGGATTTCTGGCTCTCACAGACCTGTAACTTCTTCTTTAAGAGGCTCCTCTGACCTCCACTCGTTACCTGTATTAATGGCACCTGTTTGAACTTGTTATCAGTATAAAAGACACCTGTCCACAACCTCAAACAGTCACACTCCAAACTCCACTATGGCCAAGACCAAAGAGCTGTCAAAGGACACCAGAAACAAAATTGTAGACCTGCACCAGGCTGGGAAGACTGAATCTGCAATAGGTAAGCAGCTTGGTTTGAAGAAATCAACTGTGGGAGCAATTATTAGGAAATGGAAGACATACAAGACCACTGATAATCTCCCTCGATCTGGGGCTCCACGCAAGATCTCACCCCGTGGGGTCAAAATGATCACAAGAACGGTGAGCAAAAATCCCAGAACCACACGGGGGGACCTAGTGAATGACCTGCAGAGAGCTGGGACCAAAGTAACAAAGCCTACCATCAGTAACACACTACGCCGCCAGGGACTCAAATCCTGCAGTGCCAGACGTGTCCCCCTGCTTAAGCCAGTACATGTCCAGGCCCGTCTGAAGTTTGCTAGAGTGCATTTGGATGATCCAGAAGAGGATTGGGGAGAATGTCATATGGTCAGATGAAACCAAAATATAACTTTTTGGTAAAAACTCAACTCGTCGTGTTTGGAGGACAAAGAATGCTGAGTTGTCCAAAGAACACCATACCTAATGTGAAGCATGGGGATGGAAACATCATTCTTTGGGGCTGTTTTTCTGCAAAGGGACCAGGACGACTGATCCGTGTAAAGGAAAGAATGAATGGGGCCATGTATCGTGAGATTTTGAGTGAAAACCTCCTTCCATCAGCAAGGGCATTGAAGATGAAACGTGGCTGGGTCTTTCAGCATGACAATGATCCCAAACACACCGCCCGGGCAACGAAGGAGTGGCTTCGTAAGAAGCATTTCAAGGTCCTGGAGTGGCCTAGCCAGTCTCCAGATCTCAACCCCATAGAAAATCTTTGGAGGGAGTTGAAAGTCCGTGTTGCCCAGCGACAGCCCCAAAACATCACTGCTCTAGAGGAGATCTGCATGGAGGAATGGGCCAAAATACCAGCAACAGTGTGTGAAAACCTTGTGAAGACTTACAGAAAATGTTTGACCTGTGTCATTGCCAACAAAGGGTATATAACAAAGTATTGAGAAACTTTTGTTATTGACCAAATACTTATTTTCCACCATAATTTGCAAATATATTCATAAAAAATCCTACAATGTGATTTTCTGGAGAAAAAAAATCTCATTTTGTCTGTCATAGTTGACGTGTACCTATGATGAAAATTACATGCCTCTCTCATCTTTTTAAGTGGGAAAACTTGCACAATTGGTGGCTGACTAAATACTTTTTTCCCCCACTGTATTTCTTTGAAGTTTTTCAATACATTTTTATATTTGTAGCTACTTTTTAAGTAAATACCTGCACTTAACTTGTGCAATACTTTAGGAGATTAAGCAAACCCAGTTCTTCATTTCACCTGTCACATTATTTTACAGCTGATGAAACTGAGGAGTATTTCTGTCTGAAATAAAGCCCTTTTGTGGGGAAAAACTCATTCTGATTGGCTGGGCCTGGCCCCCCGGTGAGTGGGCCCATGGCTGCACCCCAGCCCAGTCATGTGAAATCCATAGATTAGGGCCTAATTAAAGTATTTCAATTGACTGATTTCCTTAAATGAACTGTAACTCAGCAAAATTGTTGAAATTGTTGCATGTTGCGTTTATATTTTTGTTCAGTATACATTATGAAGCTTACCGTAGTTCCCCAGAACAGTTGAGCCAGTCATGTGTTTGTTTGTAAATAACACAACAGGAGAAAGAGGGATCAGCTGAGTCCAGCTGTGTCTTTGGTTTAACTTGCTAGTTATCTCAGTAAGTGGCTGAATTAATGAGGTGACGGGGCATCATATGGTGTTAGCTTTCTGCCGTGTTTGAGAAGTCAAAGCGCCATAGATGAGTTATCTGTACAGCTCTCCGTTTTTCGGCCCATCTGCTCCTCCCCCATCTTCTCAGAGCAGGCAGGCCCGTTGCCCTAGCGACTTCAAACTCCACACAGACACAGCGTGTAGACATGCAGCTCCAGAGCCTGTACAGTTCTTCCTTCAGACAAGCATGTGTCAAAACATTGTTCATTTGCTAAATGTATCTCGTTCACATTCGCTTGTAAATATCCAAACTCACCAAAATGACATTCGGTAGCTTCTAACTGTACACTACTGGTCAAAAGTTTTAGAACACCTACTCATTCAAGGGTTTTTCTTTATTTATTACTATTTTCCACATTGTAGAACAATAGTGAAGACATCAAAACTATGAAATAACACATATGGAATCTTGTAGTAGCCAAAAAAGTGTTAAACAGATTCTTTATATAGCCACCCTTTGCCTTGATGACAGCTTTGCACACTCTTGGCATTCTCTCAACCAGCTTCACATGGAATGCTTTTCCAACAGTCTTGAAGGAGTTCCCACATATGCTGAGCACTTGTTGGCTGCTTTTCCTTCACTCTGCCGTTCGACTCACCGCCACATCATCATGTGGCGGTCCTCATGAGAGCCATTTTCATCATAGCGCTTGATGGTTTTTGCGACTGCACTTGAAGAAACTTTCAAAGTTCTTGACATTTTCCGTATTGACTAACCTTCATGTCTTAAAGTAATGATGGACTGTCATTTCTCTTTGCTTATTTGAGCTGTTCTTGCCATAATATGGACTTGGTCTTTTACCAAATAGGGCTATCTTCTGTATACCCCCCCCTACCTTGTCACAACACAACTGATTGGCTCAAACACATTAAGAAGGAAAAAAATTCCACAAATTAACTTTTAAGAAGGCACACCTATTAATTGAAATGTATTCCAGGTGACTACCTCATGAAGCTGGTTGAGAGAATGCCAAGAGTGTGCAAAGCTGTCATCAAGGCAAAGGGTGGCTATTTTAAGAATCTCAAATATAAAATATATTTTGAATTGTTTATAATTTTTTTGGTTACTACATGATTCCATATGTGTTATTTCATAGTTTTGATGTCTTCACTATTATTCTACAATGTAGAAAATAGTAAAAATAAAGAAAAACTCTTGAATGAGTAGGTGTTCTAAAACTTTTGACTGGTAGTGTATACAGTGGGGAGAACAAGTATTTGATACACTGCCGATTTTGCAGGTTTTCCTACTTACAAAGCATGTAGAGGTCTGTAATTTTTATCATAGGTACACTTCAACTGTGAGAGACTGAATCTAAAACAAAAATCCAGAAAATCACATTGTATGATTTTTAAGTAATTAATTTGCATTTTATTGCATGACATAAGTATTTGATACATCAGAAAAGCAGAACTTAATATTTGGTACAGAAACCTTTGTTTGCAATTACAGAGATCATATGTTTCCTGTAGGTCTTGACCAGGTTTGCACACACTGCAGCAGGGATTTTGGCCCACTCCTCCATACAGACCTTCTCCAGATCCTTCAGGTTTCGGGGCTGTCGCTGGGCAATACGGACTTTCAGCTCCCTCCAAAGATTTTCTATTGGGTTCAGGTCTGGAGACTGGCTAGGCCACTCCAGGACCTTGACTCCTTAGTTGCCCTGGCTGTGTGTTTCGGGTCGTTGTCATGCTGGAAGACCCAGCCACGACCCATCTTCAATGCTCTTACTGAGGGAAGGAGGTTGTTGGCCAAGATCTCGAGATACATGGCCCCATCCATCCTCCCCTCAATACGGTGCAGTCGTCCTGTCCCCTTTGCAGAAAAGCATTCCCAAAAAATGATGTTTCCACCTCCATGCTTCACGGTTGGGATGGTGTTCTTGGGGTTGTACTCATCCTTCTTCTTCCTCCAAACACGGCGAGTGGAGTTTTGACCAAAAAGCTCTATTTTTGTCTCATCAGACCACATGACCTTCTCCCATTCCTCCTCTGGATCATCCAGATGGTCATTGGCAAACTTCAGACGGGCCTGGACATGCGCTGGCTTGAGCAGGGGGACCTTGCATGCGCTGCAGGATTTTAATCCATGACGGCGTAGTGTGTTACTAATGGTTTTCTTTGAGACTGTGGTCCCAGCTCTCTTCAGGTCATTGACCAGGTCCTGCCGTGTAGTTCTGGGCTGATCCCTCACCTTCCTCATGATCATTGATGCCCCACAAGGTGAGATCTTGCATGGAGCCCCAGACCGAGGGTGATTGACCGTCATCTTGAACTTCTTCCATTTTCTAATAATTGCGCCAACAGTTGTTGCCTTCTCACCAAGCTGCTTGCCTATTGTCCTGTAGCCCATCCCAGCCTTGTGCAGGTCTACAATTTTATCCCTGATGTCCTTACACAGCTCTCTGGTCTTGGCCATTGTGGAGAGGTTGGAGTTTGATTGAGTGTGTGGACAGGTGTCTTTTATACAGGTAACAAGTTCAAACAGGTGCAGTTAATACAGGTAATGAGTGGAGAACAGGAGGGCTTCTTAAAGAAAAACTAACAGGTCTGTGAGAGCCGGAATTCTTAATGGTTGGTAGGTGATCAAATACTTATGTCATGCAATAAAATGCAAATTAATTACTTAAAAATCATACAATGTGATTTTCTGGATTTTTGTTTTAGATTCCGTCTCTCACAGTTGAAGTGTACCTATGATAAAAATTACAGACCTCTACATGCTTTGTAAGTAGGAAAACCTGCAAAATCGGCAGTGTATCAAATACTTGTTCTCCCCACTGTATATAGAACTTAATGAGCTGGATTGCCTGTCTTTGCAATAAGTTATTTTTGTTTGCGATCTTTATCATATTTAGTTAGCTAATTTTGTTAGCATTCTGGTAATATACTTTTGACCAGAGATCTAAGGGGCCTAATTAAAAGTAGTGCGCTACATGGGGAAGTGGGTTCCGTTTTTGGGACGCAGCCAGAGATTGCCAGTGAGAGTGCAGTACTAACCCAGAGCCTCCATGCCAGGGGGTTTGCCCATGATGGGTCGTAGCCCAGGAGTGGTGGAGGTGCCTGGGGTGGGGGCATCACTACGAGGGGTGGGGGTGGTCGACTTCAGGCCTGGCATTGATGACTTGTCATTCTGCACAGGAAGAGAGAGAGAGAGAGAGAGGGACGGAGAGAGGAAGAGAGATAGAGATTAACAAATGTGGGCCTGCCAACTGCGTTGCAGACGCTCTTCAGTGGATTTAGGCATAACTGTCGGTCTCCCTGTCCTGTCTGTGTGTTTTCAGTAGATGACCGGACGTCAGCCAGAGAGAGAGAGAGAGATAATATGATAATACTGTAGCTAGACTTCTGTCTTCTGGTCGCTGTAGAATCTCTGTCTCTAACAGCTCACTGGATTTAACTAACCCAACATTTTATAATTATATATTTCTGCCATGTAGACAGATGACTTCCCAAATGGTACACTTTTCCCGGTGGGCCCTGGTCAAACATAGTACCCTATATATGGAATAGGGATCCATTTGGGAAGCCGTTTAGAGCAAAGCAGTGAGTGAGGGACAGAAGGCTTAATCTCTATTGTAACTAATAGGGTTTTAATAAATAGCAGTTTATTCACTCTGGAAGGACTATCTTAATCTCTATTGTAACTAATAGGGTTTTAATAAATAGCAGTGTATACACTCTGGAAGGACTATGGGGGGTTGACACAACTAGATGGATTAAATTCAGTTTGGACTCCCTTTGCTTTGGGATTGTAAATGCGTTTCTCTCCCTGACCCTCCGTCTCCATGCCGAATCCCCCCTTCCTTCCCTCTCGTGCTCCACGTCTCACAGCGTTCTTACATGGTGCTCCTTGTTCTTGGAGGACAGCGTGCTGCTGGAGGAAGCTACAGAGGCGGGGCTGGTGGGCGTGTCCTTCTGGGGGCGGGGCTTGCTGATGCCGTTCCCCTCGGGCGAATGAGCGGGGCTAGCCCCCCGAGGGGTGGCGGGGTCCTGGAGTAAACAAACAATCACTCTGAGCACACAGCTAAGTAAATACGGTGACACTCTTACAGAACAAACCACGTCCCCTAACCCCCAGAAACCACACCCCTTTCTGTACTAAGTCACTGAGATGTGCCTGGACACAGTCCGTCTCCATGTACGTATTCAGTCAGAGACGTACCTTGATACAGAGACTTTATCTGGCTAAACATCTATAAACAAAGTAAAGTAAGCAAACAGTGTTGAGTAGATCACCTGTATGTTGCTATTAGTATAGACTACTGAGCTGAGTAGATCACCTGTATGTTGCTATTAGTATAGACTACTGAGCTGAGTAGATCACCTGTATGTTGCTATTAGTACAGACTACTGAGCTGAGTAGATCACCTGTACTGATACACCTGTATGTTGCAATTAGTACAGACTACTGAGCTGAGTAGATCACCTGTATGTTGCTATTAGTACAGACTACTGAGCTGAGTAGATCACCTGTACTAATACACCTGTATGTTGCTGTTAGTACAGACTACTGAGCTGAGTAGATCACCTGTACTGATACACCTGTATCTTGCTATTAGTACAGACTACTGAGCTGAGTAGATCACCTGTACTGATACACCTGTATGTTGCTATTAGTACAGACTACTGAGCTGAGTAGATCACCTGTATGTTGCTATTAGTACAGACTACTGAGCTGAGTAGATCACCTGTATGTTGCTATTAGTACAGACTACTGAGCTGAGTAGATCACCTGTACTAATACACCTGTATGTTGCTATTAGTACAGACTACTGAGCTGAGTAGATCACCTGTACTGATACACCTGTATGTTGCTGTTAGTACAGACTACTGAGCTGAGTAGATCACCTGTACTAATACACCTGTATGTTGCTGTTAGTACAGACTACTGAGCTGAGTAGATCACCTGTACTGATACACCTGTATGTTGCTATTAGTACAGACTACTGAGCTGAGTAGATCACCTGTACTGATACACCTGTATGTTGCTATTAGTATAGACTACTGAGCTGAGTAGATCACCTGTACTAATACACCTGTATGTTGCTATTAGTACAGACTACTGAGCTGAGTAGATCACCTGTACTAATACACCTGTATGTTGCTATTAGTATAGACTACTGAGCTGAGTAGATCACCTGTACTAATACACCTGTATGTTGCTATTAGTATAGACTACTGAGCTGAGTAGATAACCTGTACTAATACACCTGTATGTTGCTATTAGTACAGACTACTGAGCTGAGTAGATCACCTGTACTAATACACCTGTATGTTGCTATTAGTATAGACTACTGAGCTGAGTAGATCACCTGTACTAATACACCTGTATGTTGCTATTAGTACAGACTACTGAGCTGAGTACATCACCTGTACTAATACACCTGTATGTTGCTATTAGTACAGACTACTGAGCTGAGTAGATCACCTGTACTGATACACCTGTATGTTGCTATTAGTACAGACTACTGAGCTGAGTAGATCACCTGTATGTTGCTATTAGTACAGACTACTGAGCTGAGTAGATCACCTGTACTAATACACCTGTATGTTGCTATTAGTATAGACTACTGAGCTGAGTAGATCACCTGTACTAATACACCTGTATGTTGCTATTAGTACAGACTACTGAGCTGAGTACATCACCTGTACTAATACACCTGTATGTTGCTATTAGTATAGACTACTGAGCTGAGTAGATCACCTGTACTAATACACCTGTATGTTGCTATTAGTATAGACTACTGAGCTGAGTAGATCACCTGTACTAATACACCTGTATGTTGCTATTAGTATAGACTACTGAGCTGAGTAGATCACCTGTACTAATACACCTGTATGTTGCTATTAGTACAGACTACTGAGCTGAGTAGATCACCTGTACTAATACACCTGTATGTTGCTATTAGTACAGACTACTGAGCTGAGTAGATCACCTGTACTAATACACCTGTATGTTGCTATTAGTATAGACTACTGAGCTGAGTAGATCACCTGTACTAATACACCTGTATGTTGCTATTAGTACAGACTACTGAGCTGAGTACATCACCTGTACTAATACACCTGTATGTTGCTATTAGTATAGACTACTGAGCTGAGTAGATCACCTGTACTAATACACCTGTATGTTGCTATTAGTATAGACTACTGAGCTGAGTAGATCACCTGTACTAATACACCTGTATGTTGCTATTAGTACAGACTACTGAGCTGAGTAGATCACCTGTACTAATACACCTGTATGTTGCTATTAGTACAGACTACTGAGCTGAGTAGATCACCTGTTCTAATACACCTGTATGTTGCTTACCTCATTGGACACATCTACAACCAGGTCATCACTCTTATCCCCATCACTGTCCTACAGAGAGGAACATTGGAGAAACAGTCAAAATTGATATAAAATACCTTTCTATAAACCAGCAGTTATACTGCGTTAATTCCAATCCATTGCGTCTGTCTATAGCCCTGAATCTCTAATCAACCGTAGCAACTACTCCTATCTCTAATCAACCGTAGAAACTACTCCTAGGCACTACTGTAGATCTGAGGATTGGATTGGTGTAAACAATGTGGTCATAGCTCCATCTTGCCCTCTGATAGGCCAGCTGGAATTGTTGGCATACTGAGCACACCTATTCTGCCCTCTCAGATCTAGTGCCTAGGGGGGGGGGGGGGGGGGGTTATGGGTCAATATGGGGCTGAGGGTCAGAGTGCAGTGTGCGGGGACTTACATATCTGCTCATACCGTCCTTGTCGTCCACTTTGCGTTTCTTAGAGTCCAGACTGTAGTCAGAGGAGCTGTGGTGTTTCTCACTGGCTGTCCTCAAGCTGTCGGTCGGGGAGACGTTATTCTGGAGGACATGCACACACACACACACATAACACAAAATGTGCCATCCAAGTGAGAATTCTGTCTTTACAATACGTTAATCCCATGCTGTTCACGCTTTGACACGTTAATCTGCTTTCTATAAAATGATTAACGAGAGATAAGGTTTTGTATTTATAATCCCTAGGTTTAACCCAGAAGGGAAATGACTGGTTTTATCACGCTGCTGCCACAGACAGCAGATCTGACTGTAATTTCATCACAATTAAAGAAGACTTGGACTACTTGTAATAGGATTGATCTGATCCCCCTATATTATTATCTATTTGGTGGGTCACTGCTGCTAAATTGGCAACCACCGCTGCTAAAAATGTCATTTTTGTATTTATATATCCCTTTAAAGCCCGATGTGTTATACATGTCACAATGTGCTTCAATCAGGTCTCCAACCTTTTCTTTAAATAAGGAAACACTTATACTCATTTTGTCCTAGCTTTCCAATAGGCCCATTCTTCTCCTCTCCCCTGCAACTCTTCCCCGGGTCCTTAGTGTACAAGAGAAAGTAGTGCGCCATGTTTTCTGTCAATATACCTGGTTAAATAATGGTTAATAAAAAACTCTAAGCGGGTCCTATGAAAATCAGATCCCCCCCCCCCCATATTTTGTTTTATAGAGTGCATTCGGAAAGTATTCAGACCCCTTTTTCCACATCTTGTTATGTTCCAGCCTTATTCTAAAAAGGATTACATTATTTTTCCCCCTCATCAATCTACACACAATAACCCATAATGCCAAAGTGAAGATGGTTTTTATCAAACATTTTTTATTTTAATTTTTGCAAATGTATGGAAAAGAAAAACATGTTTTTACATAATTGAACAGAAATACATTATTTACATAAGTATTCAGACACTTTGCTATGAGACTCCAAATTGAGCTCAGGTGCATCCTGTTCCCATTGATCATCCTTAAGATGTTTTTACAACTTGGAGTCCACCTGTGGTAAATTCAATTGATTGGACATGATTTGACATGATTTGGAAAGGCACACACCTGTCTATATAAGGTCCCACAGTTGACAGTCCATGTCAGAGCAAAAACCAAGCCATGAGGTCAAAGGAATTGTCCGTAGAGCTCCGAGACAGGATTGTGTCGAGGCACAGATCTGGGGAAGGGTACCAAAACATTTCTGCAGCATTGAAGGTCCCCAAGAACACAGTGGCCTCCATCATTCTTAAAAGGAAGAAGTTTGGAACCACCAAGACTCTTCCTAGAGCTGCCCTCCCGGCCAAACTGAGTAATCGGGGGAGAAGGGCCGTGGTCAGGGAGGTGACCAATAACCCAATGGTCACTCTGACAGAGCTCTAGAGTTCCTCTGTGGAGATGGGAGAACCTTCCAGAAGGACAACCATCTCTGCAGCACTCCACCAATCAGGCCTGTATGGTGGAGTGGCCAGACGGAAGCCACTCCTCAGTAAAAGGCACATGACAGCCTGCTTGGAGTTTGCCAAAAGGCACCTAAAGACTCTCAGACCATGAGAAACAAGATTCTCTGGTCTGATGAAACCAAGATTGAACTCTTTGGCCTGAATGCCAAGCGTCACGTCTGGAGGAAACCAGGTACCGCTCATCACCTGGCCAATACCATCCCTAAGGTGAAGCATGGTGGTGGCAGCATCATGCTGTGGGGATGTTTTTCAGGGACTGGGAGATTAATCAAGATTGAGGGAAAGATGAACTGAGCAAAGTACAGAGAGATCCTTGATGAAAACCTGCTCCAGAGTGCTCAGGACCTCAGACTGGGGCGAAGGTTCACCTTCCAACAGGACAATGACCCTAAGCACACAGCCAAGACAACGCAGGAGTGGCTTCAGGACAAGTCTCTGAATGTCCTTGAGTGGCCCAGCCAGAGCCCGGACTTGAACCCGATCAAACATCTCTAGAGAGACCTGAAATTAGCTGTGCAGCGACGCTCCCCATCCAACCTGACAGAGCTTGAGAGGCTCTGCAGAGAAGAATGGGAGAAACTCCCCCAAATACAGGTGTGCCAAGCTTGTAGCGTCATACCCAAGAAGACTCAAGGCTGTAATCGCTGCCAAAGGTGCTTCAACAAAGTACTGAGTAAAGGGTCTGAATACTTATGTAAATGTGATTTTCTGTGTTTATTTTATTTTATACATTTGCTAAAATGTCGAAAAAAATGTTTTTGCTTCGTCATTATGGGGTATTGTGTGTAGATTAAACATTTTCCCTCATCCTTTAATCCATTTTAGCATAAGGCTGTAACGTAACAAAATTATTTTTATCTCACCCGAGTTGTATGCACTCACTAACTGTAAGTCGCTCTGTATAAGAGCATCTGCTAAAATGACTAAAATGTCAAATGTAAGGCACTGCTCAGTGCTTGAGGCGTCACTACAGACCCCCTGGTTCGATTCCAGGCTGTATCACAACCGGCCGTGATTGGGAGTCCCATAGGGCGGCGCACAATTGGCCCAGCATCGTCCGGGTTTGGCAAGGGTGTAGGCCGTCATTGTAAATAAGAATTTGTTCTTAACTGACTTGCCTAGTTAAATAAAGGTAAAATAAAATAAAATAAATACAATTCATCCACCGCCATCACCTCATGTTTCAGCATCATAATGCACGGCTCCATGTCACAAGGATCTGTACACAATTCCTGGAAAGCTGAAAATGTCCCAGTTCTTCTTTGGCCTGCATGCTCACCAGACATGTCACCCATTGAACATTTTTGGGATGCTCTGAATCGACGTGTACGACAGCATGCTCCAGTTCCGGCCAATATCCAGCAACTTCACACAGCCATTGAAGAGGAGTGGGACAACATTCCACTGGCCACAACAGCCTGATTAACTCTATGCGAAGGAGATGTGTTGCGCTCCATGAGGCAAATGGTGGTCACTTCAGATACGGACTGTTTCCTGATCCACGCCCCTACTTTTTCTTAAAGGTAAGTGTGCCCAACAGATGCATGTACTCCATAGATTCGTTTTATTTATTTCAATTGACTGATTTCCTTAAATGAACTGTAACTCAGTAAAATCTTTGAAATTGTTGCATGTTGTGTTTATATTTTTTGTTCAGTGTAGATTCAAGGAAAAGAGTAAATACTATGCACACACATCTTATAGTACATGCAGCAAAAACCAAAGAGATCGAATTTGGCAAAACTCACCGTGTTCTCTGCTTATAGGAATTGACGACGGCAGGAGAGATGACAATCAATCGGTGATGACATGAAAAGAAAAACAAGCCAGTTAGCAGAACAAAACAAAACAAAACAGCACACAGGATTTGACCGCAGGGCAGAACTCTTATCAGTTTGTGACTCATTGAAGCTGCAGAATAGCCGTTCCAGCCAGTCATCCAGCAGCCTGAGAATGTACCAGCTCATTACCCAAAGAGAATGTAGAAGAAGTCATAAAAGGCTGTGCTCCTCTTAACGAGCTGGCCTAGGGGTAGGGATGGGCGTTTTAAACGATTTCACTGTTCAAACAATATCATGATGTTTTCTTTGGATACCCGGATAGTCGAAATACGTGTTTTACTTCAACGGAGACTTGCTCGCATGACCAGAGAGATTGCCGGTGCGCTGCACTAAGGGTGCGGGAGGCGGGGAGAGAGGAGCAGGGGGTCGGGTGTGTGTGAAAGTAGCCAAACCGACTGGCGCTAGTTAGACAAAATTGTTGGCTATTTTGCTGCGCTTCCCGTCCCGTCTACATTCATTTTAAACATGTTGGTTGATCATCGTATCAGGTTATCAATCAACCTACCAGGGTAGTTACAAACAGTACAGGAATCAAATCATCAACATGTATTGATCATATCTTTACTAATGCTGCAGAAATGTGTTTGAAAGCAGTATCCAAATCCATCGGATGTAGTGATCACAATATAGTAGCCATATCTAGGAAAACCAAAGTTCCAAAGGCTGGGCCTAATATTGTGTTTAAGAGGTCATACAATAAGTTTTGTAGTGATTCCTATGTTGTTGATGTGAAGAATATTTGTTGGTCCGTGGTGTGTAATGAGGAGCAAACAGACGCTGTACTTGACAGATTTATGAAAAGAGATGGCAAATAGGTCTGGCTGTACAACCGATTGCCAAACGTGTTGCAAATTGAGAAATCATGTGACTAAACTGAATAAAAAGAAGAAGAAACTACACTATGAAACAAAAATAAATGACATAAAGAATGATAGTAAAAAGCTTTGGAGCACCATAAATGAAATTCTGGGCAAAAAGGCAAATTCCGCTCCATCATTCATTGAATCAGATGGCTCATTCATCACAAAACCCACTGATATTGCCAACTACTTTAATGATTTTTTCATTGGCAAGATTAGCACATTTAGGCATGACATGCCAGCAACAAATTCTGAAAGACAAGCATTGTAATTTTGAATTCCGTAAAGTGACTGTGGAAGAGGTGAAAAATATATTATTGTCGATCAACAATGACAAGCCACCGGGGTCTGTCAACTTGGATGGAAAATTACTGAGGATAATAGCGGACGATATTGCCACTCCTATTTGCCATATCTTCAATTTAAGCCTACTAGAAAGTGTGTGCCCTCAGGCCTGGAGGGAAGCTAAAGTAATTCCTCTACCTAAGAATAGTAAAGCCCCCCTTTACTGGCTCAAATAGCCGACCAATCAGCTTGTTACCAACCCTTAGTAAACTTCTGGAAAATATTGTGTTTGACCAGATAAAATGCTATTTTACAGTAAACAAATTGACAACAGACTTTCAGCATGCTTATAAGGAAGGACATTCAACAAGCACAGCACTCATGATGATTGGCTAAGAGAAATTGATGATAAAAAGATTGTGGGGGTTGTTTTGTTAGACTTCAGTGCAGCTTTTACATTTACATTTACGTCATTTAGCAGACGCTCTTATCCAGAGCGACTTACAAATTGGTGCATTCACCTTATAGCCAGTGGGATAACCACTTTTGACATTATCGATCATAGTCTGTTGCTGGAAAAACCTATGTGTTATGGCTTTACACCCCCTGCTATATTGTGGATAAAGAGTTACCTGTCTAACAGAACACAGAGGGTGTTCTTTAATGGAAGCCTCTCCAACATAATCCAGGTAGAATCAGGAATTCCCCAGGGCAGCTGTCTAGGCCCCTTACTTTTTTCAATCTTTACTAACGACATGCCACTGGCTTTGAGTAAAGCCAAACCATTTATTAAACCCTAAACCTCAACTAAATCTTGTAATGAATAATGTGGAAATTGAGCAAGTTGAGGTGACTAAATTGCTTGGAGTAACCCTGGATTGTAAACTGTCATGGTCAAAACATATTGATACAACAGTAGCTAGGATGGGGAGAAGTCTGTCCATAATAAAGTGCTGCTCTACCTTCTTAACAGCACTATCAACAAGGCAGGTCCTACAGGCCCTAGTTTTGTCGCACCTGGACTACTGTTCAGTCGTGTGGTCAGGTGCCACAAAGAGGGACTTAGGAAAATTGCAATTGGCTCAGAACAGGGCAGCACGGCTGGCCCTTGGATGTACATAGAGAGCTAACATTAATAATATGCATGTCAATCTCTCCTGGCTCAAAGTGGTGGAGACGATTGACTTCATCACTACTTGTATTTGTGAGAGGTATTAACATGTTGAATGCTCCGAGCTGTCTGTTTGAACTACTGGCACACAGCTCGGACACCCATGCATACCCCACAAGACATGCCACCAGAGGTCTCTTCACAGTCCCCAAGTCCAGAACAGACTATGGGAGGTGCACAGTACTACATAGAGCCATGACTACATGGAACTCTATTCCACATCAAGTAACTGATGCCAGCAGTAAAATTAGATTTAAAAAACAGATAAAAATACACCTTATGGAACAGCGGGGACTGTGAAGCAATACAAACATAAACACACGATAACATACACACTATACACACATGTACACATGGATTTTGTGTTATAGAGATGTGGTAGTGGCCTGAGGGCACACACTTAATATGTTGTGAAATCTGTTATGAATGTATTGTAAATGTTTTTAAAATGTATGACTGCCTTAATTTCACTGGACCCCAGGAAGAGCAGCTTGGGGATCCATAATAAATACAAATACTCCTTCTCATTTAGCCAACTTAATTCTGTAAATGTAACTCCATTTTGCATAGATTAGAAATCTCCCACTTTACTTGCTACACAAGTGTGTAGGCTACCGTAGTGTCTTTTTTAATGGGGCAGGCTCATAAAAACTGTCAGAAAACAGTTGTTTTATTAAAATGCAGAATGTAAATGGTAGGCTATGTAGCAATGTCACATAGATCATTTTTAAAAATTAAATTTACAAAAATGAATACTCTCCCAAGTAATCGAATATTAACGTCCGTTCGGATATTCGAATAACCGTTCCAAAACGGGGGGGATTTCGTTTTCAACATAGGGCGGATTCCACTTCTCAAACGTGAAATGATTCACTTTTGGCTACTTTCTTTCACACCTTTTTATGATGTAATTTAGGCTACTATTCTTCACACTGCTGCATGTAGATACTATCACACCAAACACATCTACCTCAATCACTCCTAATAAAGGTGTAGTAAAGGCCAATAGCAGGAGTCCTTTCATCACCTCTGTGTTCCAGGTCGTGTTGGTTCTTCTCATCTTTAACAGGGAGGTTAGCCTGGCTCCCCAGAGCTCCAAGGGCCAGCAGCCCAGACCCTGGGATCACACCAGGGGGCTGGAGCCCCGAGGGGTGGGGGGGCAGGAGGGGAGGACCGCCGTGGGCTGCGTGGGAAAGGTGCTGGACCTGGAGCTGTTGCTGCTGTAGAGGGGCAGAGATGGAGCGAGAAGACGACAAGTGGGTCGGGAGGGAAAGACAAGAGAGACGCCATACACTAAAACACATAGAATGACATGTAGAAGTCATAAATCCTCGGATCTCTGTAACACAAACTGGGGTAGGTTTCCCAAAGGATTCATTGCTAAAGTAGTAAGTTATTTCTTGCACAGATCTAGACTTAAGCCACTCGTAGAACAGCAAAGTTATTCAAGTTACGAATTGCGTCCATTCAAGCATAGAAGACTGTCAAACATAGTTTTTTAAAATAATTTTTACTCTGTGGCGGCTGTTTGTATAGGCTGCGGAGATAGCGTAGTCATTTACCTAAGACGGCTTTGGGAAACCAACTATGTTTAACCAGATATACTTTAGAAACACCAGCCACTAAACACAGGCTGATCAGTTAAACCCTGCCTATTTGTGCAGCACGGCGAGATATTAACACATTCACACTATAGTCTATAGCTCTCTGGATCAGAGTGGATGACAGAGATAGAGAGCTGTATGCCTCACAGTGCTATTCTATTTCCATACCACGCTAGGATGCCAATAAGTCAGGTTTAACCAGGCTATAGAGAGATTAGATATTAACACATTAACACATCTCTATTACGTTCTGGATCGGAGCTACAGAGCCATCCCCCCTCTCAATGCTACAGAGCTGTATCCACCTCTCAGTGCTATTTCAGTACCAGGCCAGGGTGCCATAAGCCACAGATATGCAATGAGATATGAGGCTCTGCTCTGAGGCACCATGAGATGAGACTCTGCTCTGAGACACCATGAGATATGAGGCTCTGCTCTGAGGCACCATGAGATATGAGGCTCTGCTCTGAGACACCATGAGATGAGACTCTGCTCTGAGACACCATGAGATATGAGGCTCTGCTCGGAGACACCATGAGATATGAGGCTCTGCTCTGAGACACCATGAGATGAGACTCTGCTCTGAGACACCATGAGATATGATGCTCTGCTCTGAGACACCATGAGATATGAGGCTCTGCTCTGAGACACCATGAGATATGAGGCTCTGCTCTGAAACACCATGAAATATGAGGCTCTGCTCTGAGACACCATGAGATGAGACTCTGCTCTGAGACACCATGAGATATGATGCTCTGCTCTGAGACACCATGAGATATGAGGCTCTGCTCTGAGACACCATGAGATATGAGGCTCCGCTCTGAGACACCATGAGATATGAGACTCTGCTCTGAGACACCATGAGATATGATGCTCTGCTCTGAGACACCATGAGATATGAGGCTCTGCTCTGAGACACCATGAGATATGAGGCTCCGCTCTGAGACACCATGAGATATGAGGCTCTGCTCTGAGACACCATGAGATATGACGCTCTGCTCTGAGACACCATGAGATATGAGGCTCTGCTCTGAGACACCATGAATCCCAAAACTGTCTAAAAAACTGTCTGCATTAATAAACTAAATTTGCTGGTGTCAAACTTGATACGAAAACATGATACATATTTTATCAGCTCTTTCAAATGATATGACATACAATAGCACCATATCAATCAAATGGTAATCAAGAAAAAACACCTGTGAAAATGTGCATCTAATACTAATAATAATAATAAATAATATGCCATTTAGCAGACGCTTTTATCCAAAGCGACTTACAGTCATGCGTGCATACATTTTTTTTGTGTATGGGTGGTCCCGGGGATCGAACCCACTACCTTAGCGTTACAAGCGCCGTGCTCTACCAGCTGAGCTACAGAGGACCACTACTAAAATCTATGCTTTTCTTCCAAACAACTGCCATTCACAAAACGTTGTCATGACGATACAGAAAAACGTTGAGCGCATTGTCTTCCTTATTTTGTCAGGATTGATAATCTGAAATCAGAATAGAAATACCTTTTACTGTGGATGGATTTCAGTGACCGATGGTATTTTTCTCAAATTCTACGGAATGTTCTGTGATCAGACACTTTATCTGGATAGTATATTAACTACCTATATGCACCAATAAGCACCTAGCTGCACCAAAACAATTTACAAATAGCATTTAGTCTTATATATGATAAAGAAAGACACAAACAAGTGATATAATATTAATAAAATAACTTTATTGAAAGAATAATCTTAGGGGAATACATCGTCTCATTCAAACCTGAGAATGAAGACATATAAAATTGCTACCATAACATTATACAACATTAATTTCAGGGCTACTTTCATCAAAATCGAACTGGAATTACAAAATATGAAACAAATAAGATATATAACAACAATTTATTAGCTTTTACAACTTCAATTTCTAAATTCAAATAGCATATCGTCTATTACACAGAGTCAGAACAGGAACAATTCCAAAAGCACAACATTATTTTACCGTCATTACAATTTACAAGTCCTTTACATCCCAGAGGCCAATAAAGTCATGAATGAAACATAAAGGAAGGCGGGCATGCAGGATGTCTTGGATAAGAAAGAGAAAACATGCTAGGGAGGGGGCATGCAGGAGAAGGGGGGCCTGCAGGAAAGGGCAACATGCAAGAGAGAGGGGGCATGCAGGAGAAGGGGGACCTGCAGGAAAGGGCAACATGCAAGAGAGAGGGGGCATGCAGGAGAAGGGGGACCTGCAGGAAAGGGCAACATGCAAGAGAGAGGGGGCATGCAGGAGAAGGGGGACCTGCAGGAAAGGGCAACATGCAAGAGAGAGGGGGCATGCAGGAGAAGGGGGACCTGCAGGAAAGGGCAACATGCAAGAGAGAGGGGGCATGCAGGAGAAGGGGGACCTGCAGGAAAGGGCAACATGCAAGAGAGAGGGGGCATGCAGGAGAAGGGGAACCTGCAGGAAAGGGCAACATGCAAGAGAGAGGGGGCATGCAGGAGAAGGGGGACCTGCAGGAAAGGGCTACATGTAAGATGAGAGGGGGCATGCAGGAGAAGGGATGCATGCATTACTAGTGAACATCATTGCATTCAGGTGCCACACAAACAAACCAGGTCCAGTTCTCCTTTCTGTCTTCCTGTAACACAGCCAACCATTTCTAGAGGGGGTCTGTAGACTGGGCATGTGCTGTGTGTGAAAAGATGAGCTTACAGTTTTCACAGACAAAAGGTCTGTCAAAAGATACCTGTTCTTAACATCAATACCTCCCAACCGATGAGCAAGGTTCTCTCTGAATGTAATCTGGCAGTAACCAGTTTGCCCATTTTCCTAGCCCAAGCGCTACATGATTATACTGCCATTCCTCGACAAAAGGTAACCGTTGACAACTGCAATGTCAACACAGTGGGGGAAAAAGTGTTTTCTGAAAAGTTCTGGGTCTTCTGCAAAACATTGTAGCGGATGATCAACTGATCAAACTTGTCAACCCCAACCATCTGTCTATTGTAATGGTGGATTACAGCAGGCTGGCGGACCACTTGCCTATTCCAAACACCATCCTGTCTGACAAGCCTCGTTACTGCATTTTTACATTTACATTTTTAGTCATTTAGCAGACGCTCTTATCCAGAGCGACTTACAGTTAGTGAGTGCATACATTATTATTATTATTTTTTAAAATAAAAAATCCATACTGGCCCCCCGTGGGAATCGAACCCACAACCCTGGCGTTGCAAACGCCATGCTCTACCAACTGAGCTACATCCCTGCCGGCCATTCCCTCCCCTACCCTGAGCGACGCTGGGCCAATTGTGCGCCGCCCCATGGGTCTCCCGGTCGGCTACGACAGATCTCTGGAGTGGAATCATTTGCATTGTGAACACTGGAAAGGCCAGTAACAGTACTTGTGTCTCCACTGTATGGCCAATATATTGAAAAGACCAGTAACACTATGTGTGTCTCTCCAGTGTATGGCCAATACATTGCCTCCTATCCTACACCAACGCATATGTCTGTTTCCATTTCACGCTATAAGTCCCACATGCATTGAACCCCTCCCTAGTCTCTCAGACTAGTTACGAGGTGCGGGTGACGTATAAAAGTTGTCGAACCAAACGTTGTAACCCTGGTTTGCATACGGCACAACTAATTCCTCAACAACTAATTCCTGGCTAGGTCAACCACACGACCATCCCGACTGCCGGAGTAAACATTGAAATCTAAAGTGTAGCCTGTGTCAGATGAAGCGCTCATCTATGGCTCAATTTTGGTTTGGCTGGTACAGCTTTTTAACAGTCTGTTTCGGGTGGTCCAGAACGTACCACAGTGCTCTAAGCCCATCTGCATGATCCTCAGTGGCAGGATCCACCACGTGTAAAGCAGCCAACAGAGTTTTGAAGCGATTACATTTACATTACATTTACGTCATTTAGCAGACGCTCTTATCCAGAGCGACTTACAGTTAGTGCATACATTATTATTATCCATACTGGCCCCCCGTGGGAATCGAACCCACAACCCTGGCGTTGCAAACGCCATGCTCTATCAACTGAGCTACATCCCTGCCGGCCATTCCCTCCCCTACCCTGGACGACGCTAGGCCAATTGTGCGCCGCCCCATGGGTCTCCCGGTCGCGGCCGGCTACGACAGAGCCTGGATTCGAACCAGGATCTCTAGTGGCACAGCTAGCACTGCGATGCAGTGCCTTAGACCACTGCGCCACTCGGGAGGTTGATTACACAACATGAAAGCTCTAGCACAAAAACCCTGAAGAGACTTTGTACCCCAGTATCGATGAAGGTCAGGCAGTTCGGTAAATCCTGTGTAAATGAGCAGTCCAAGAAACCGGTAGAATTCTGTAGGTGTAACCTCAAGCCACGCTCCGAGGGAATCACCATATAAAACGGGCACTCCAAAAACAAGACCCCCAACCCTGATTATCTGTGAACCCACAAACCTCTGCCACCAATGCCTGCGTGAAAAACAACAAGAAGAAGTCTATCTCCCTTAGTCTTTCCGGCGACCGAACTGCTTGACGTACACTGCCAAGATCTAAACCAACTGGACATTCAGGCCTGAAAGGGATGGATTCAGGTGCCTGTGCACCAACATCATCATAGGACTGAAACGTGCTATCGGGCAAGACGGAGCGTTTACGCTTATGGGGACGTGGAGCAAGAAGACAGACAGACTGAAGAGACAAGAGAAAA